GTATGATGTTGAATTTATTATTCCGAAAAATTGTTAAGTTTAATATAATAATAAGCTATTTATTAATATATACTATTTTAATAGATATGGATATTAATAAAAAAATATAAGAAATAAAATTTGTATAAAAAAAATACCTCCACCGTGACAATGTTTTCACATTGCCGTGACCAGGATTCGAACCTGGGTTACTACGGCCACAACGTAGGGTCCTAACCACTAGACGATCACGGCTACTGGAGGAGCTGAGAGAACGTTGGAAAGTATCAAGGATCAACTTAGATATCGGTCAACTTGCTTACTTGTGCATAACGGAAGCTACCAAACGATAAATAAAGAATATATTAACGATATTTAAAGTATCTCTATATTTACTTAATATAAAACATTTTGACACAAAAATATGAAGCAAACCTAGTAAACGAGAAGGAATTAAAATGGATTGAATTTTTTTTCTATCCGAACACGTATTTTATTTAATAGTGAATACTTTTTTTTTATTTAATTGGATTCAATTGAATTCAATTAGATTTAATTAAATGCAATTGGATTGAAAAACTGCATTTCCTATTCAAAATTTTGAATTGAACAGTATTCACAATGTATTTTGCACAAATAAAGCTAATTATTTTTAGATTGGAAGGCATAGAGATATGCTGTATATCAATTCCTATAAATGAATAAAAATGCATTCAGGATTGAAAAGCATTTATTTTAACATTCGTAAATTAATATTTCTGAAAATCTGAATTCATTTCAATCCATTCTCCTTTGCTAGGAAGAAAAATATAATGTATAAGAAAAATTGAAATTTTACACGTGCAATATGAAGTTGCAAAATTTTTATTAATTTTTTATTTTGGCGATATGTATATCGAATAAGCGAACAAATTAGAGATTTCGTTCCGTGTTCGTTAGCCTATTTTATTATATGTAAACGATTACAGCATGTCTCGCAGTAAGCTCTTCGATCTTTTCTTTTCACGACTCGTTATTGCTCAGCAATAACGTAATAATTGTTTTTTCTTTGAGATCCTTTTTCTCGCATCCAAATATTTCCCTCCTCTATCGCTCTTGTTTATCTCGCTTTCTCATTATTCCTGGCGATTGAATATGTTTAAATATTTGGGCTTTGATTAGATGTTATAGAATTATTAATTTGAATTTAATTTGAAACTGTTGCAATTGCAACAGTTAAATGTCTATTTTGAGAAGGATCCGAAGGAGTTCGATTTGCTATTTCAATACGATAACTCTATATAAAAAAATGTTTAAATACTGTTATTGTCTCGAGTGTCATAAATATATGTACGAGCACATGTGCAACATCTCGAGCCGTCTCGCATATTTCGTCCCGAGGATCGTGAGCGATATTATCATCACATTATAAAATAAATTAGCATAAAAAAGAGACATTTTTATTAAAAATAAAATTTTTATCTTACACTGACAAATGTACTGAATTTTAATAAATAATTGTTTGAATAATACTAATATAATATTTATTTGTAAATAAATTAATATTTGCTAAATAAAAAAATAATAATAGTTAAATTAAATTAATTCCATACTAAATAAATATGTGTTTATTAAATATTCAATTGGTATTGTGTGTGTTTAAATAGATATTTATTAAAATTTAGTATATTTTTCTCTCAATGTATCTACGCGAAAAATTTTTGAAATATCAAGATAAAGTAATAATGAAGATTCTTCAGTTTAAGTATTACGATCTTTGGCAAATAGAAAGTAATATCGTACGTTACATCCCAAACACTTTTTCAAAGATAAAGAATATAAAAGAATATAAAAGAAATGTTTAATTTCAGAGTGTTCTAGAACAATTGAAAAATCCACGATGAAGATTAGCCTATTTCAAAAGAAAATAGTCCTATCTCAGCAAAGAAAATTTTCAACGGTTGCAAAATAAACATTCTGTCGAACGCAACCAATATGTAACAATTTTCAAAACATATTTCTCCATCTTTCTTTTCTCTAATTATAATTAAGGAAACTTCACGCATATGAGAACACCAGGTGTAATATTGCACTTGATGACAATTAAATATGATTCTTAGTGACAAGTTTCTTAGTGCCTAATTTTTAATAGTTTTATATTTGCTTGAAAAATTTGAGACAATAAAATTTGACTTATAAAATTCGAGACCAATTCCTGATTGGTCACAAATATCATTATTACTTTGAATGATTGCGCTTTTTTGAAATTGGTGTTCACTTGATCTTTCTACATTATAACTTTAGGATTTACGCACCTGAGTTTGGAGCAAATAGGCTGTAACTCCGCAGGAGATGGAGCGCCGAAAATGCGCCAGAAATTGCGTTTCCGGTGCACAATGTCCTCGCATGAGAGTGCGAACTCATTTCTCGAAAAGTATCTCTCAATGCGCGAGGTGGATTTTACGCATCTCTCCGATTGTCCAACAATTTACTCTTAATTGTCGAGAGAAATACAAGCGTTCTAAGTTGTTACGTAAGTGAACGGTCTTTAAAAAATCAGTCAAACTTTAAAGAGTCTCTTTAGACATAACTTGTGTCGCAGTTGCCAATTACATTTTTCGTGGAAGCAAAAGGTTCCATTCAATGAACCAATGAATCAATGTTTGATTATGGTGCAAAAATCTCTTCTTGAAAATATATACTTATTTTCTTGTTATGTTTATGACATATTTCATGTCTCTTATATGCGCTTTTTATGCATACAAAGTTACAAAATATATGAAGATGTTAAATAATGTCAAAATAGAAAAATTTAAAATCCAATGTTTTATATATTAAATTCTTCGTTGATGCAGAATTTCTTTGATATTATAATCTGATTTTTTTCACTATTTACGCATTTCACATGATGATAAAGATGTTGAATAATCTTGTCATCAAAGGATTTGAAAATCGGCATTTTCTTTATATCTTCCTGATGTTTATGAATCACTCGTCATGTCTCAAGCAAAACTCGATCATACTAAGAATGAATCGAAGTCATTCAAAGTTCAAAGATAACGATTCCGCAAAGATTCGAGCTTTCTCACGAGAAAGCCTCGACTTCCCGTAACGAACTACCTGCGACAGTCGGATTAACAGTTTGTTCTGGTTTGCCCTGACTATTGGATACTCGGCTACATCAAGTGCGATAACGCGCCGCGTCACGTCATGTATTGCAACATCGCGGTCACGAAGCACCGGGAGCCACTCAATTCGTTGAAGGTGATCGAACACTCCGCCTCCAAGTGCATGCGCGTTGTTACGCCGTCGGTTGATTCGTTGCTGCCATTGATATGATCGTCGATCGTTGGACAAGGTAAAACGCGGGCGCGGAATCTTCTAACCAATCGCGGTATATTCACCCCTCTATCTTCTCACCGTACCTCTTTCTTATCACTGTATCGCGAGACCAATCTGCAATCCGCGGCACATAATAGGTCATGATGTGCGAAAGGACGCACGTAGATAATCCTCGACGAAATCTATACGTTCTTGTGTTCTTCGATACTAATGGATATTAATGTATTATCATTTATTGCGTTGTTGTGAATCATACGTATATGTTATCTTCAGAGACATTATAGAATGTCGAGAGTTGATAGAGTATATATAATGATAATGTGTAACCGCAAATTTGCAAGACTTCGACTTTTTAAATTTATTCTAATCGAATTTTAAATAATATTTATTTTATACATAATTTTATATTCATATAAGTCACACTTATGTTACAAATTAACTCTACATGGAAAGAACGGTTTTGAAGAGTATTTAAAAATTTATCTAGATTACTACGGATCTGAAAATCATTTTATTGGAACCATTAAAAGTACAATAATTATATAGATAGATACACAAATTGGTTATTAGAATATTAACATTTTTTTGCAGCATTTATTGTTATCAACGATTAAATAATTATGTTCTACATAATTATGTTCTACATAATTATTTTGATGATCCAACAAAATTGAGCCAACAAAAACTCGCCCATATATTTTCAGATTTATGTTTAGCTAAATTTTTAAATATACTTTAGCAAATTCTTTTCAGGTATTAAATAAGCGAAAGAAGAAAAAGTGTTCTCTTTTTTCAAATATCGAATAATCAGGTTTAGAAACTGAATTTATTTTTAAAACTATTGTATATTCAAAATTGATTTTACACGTTTTAGCCCATAATGAAGGAATAATATAGGCTATAGCACAATATAAAGTATTCATTGTCGCGAAAGAATAACGACCAGTACCGCAATTTCAGGTAACCGGAGAGATTCTGATCTTCCAATCATTATGCCTGTATTATCTGCGATTCGCGTGGTTCATCGCTCGACAGTACGTCGCGGCCTCGCGATGACTGATCGCCGGCGCTTATCGCACATACATATCTTACACGGCCTCGATCTGTAATTCTTATATGACATGCATAATTTTTTAAATCATTCATCATTTATTTTTCATCATACTCATATTTTATATCGTTCGCATATTTAATATAAAAGAAAGATAATCCTGGTGAAAATTTTTCTCAGAATTTTTCATATGTCAATTATGAAATATCGTAAGATTTTTAAGATTTTTTATAAATATAATTTCTGAAATATTAAAAAATCTAAAAAATTTAAAAATACTTTTTAAAAATTATAAGATGAGAAATTTCAGAATATTTCAAAATTCATTTGTATAAGAAGTTCTGAGAGAAGATGTAAACTTTCCGAATATTTCTGAAAAATGTTCCAATTCGTAAAAAAATTATGAGAAAAATTTTCACCAGAGAAAAAAGGAAGAAATGAGTTTATCGTAAAGTAAATCTTTTAAAAAGAGAGAATATAAATCGAATGGTAATGATAAGATAAAAATAGGAAATAGAGACAAAAAAGAGATAAAGAAATGCTAAAGACTATTTTAAAAAACACTGCACTCGTTGATTAATAATAAGCTTAAAGAGCTTATTAAGCTTCGGAGAATCAGGAATACAGTACGAAAGAAATAAAATATTGCAAGTGATAGAAAAATTCTTCTTTCTCCGAATCGTTCAGAAGTAATGCGGACTTTCGAAAATATGAGGAAAAATCACGAACGCCTCGCGGCAAGTTTGATCGAATCGGTACGGAAATTCAGGAAACTTTCGCACGCGGAGGCGGGCGAGTTAACGCGATTCTTCGGCTGCTCTATTTTCAGAGAAATTATACGATCTTCTTCCCTAGTCGTCCTTCTGGGAGACCTCGAGCGGCGATGCAGGTGCGAGTCTTACACATGCGAGGCGGAGAAGCATGTTATACACGCGCACCTCAGTGCGGTCTCGCAATAGATCCACCACGTAGCTAACGTACGCTACGTTTGCCTTCTAATGTTGCCTCTGGGACAGTCAACACCTGACACTTTCACATTACCTACGTACGAATGTTTAATGCGCCGCCGGTAATTATTATGAAGTAAATTAGCTGGTGGCGCGTGCTATACTAGATCGCTCCCCTCCTTCGTCCCTCTCTTATCCTCGTTCTCATTAATGTTGCAACTCGCCCGTCCTGTAATTATCCTCTAGCCCGCGATTAACGGTCAAGAGATCGATTACCTTTGCCTCGCGATCGTATTCCGTGTCCTTTTAACCTTCGCGATCCTTTCCACGTGCGTTATACTGTCCGATAGCGTTTATCTGGATAACCTTGAGAAGAGTCTAAGAGAGCAAAAAGTAATATAAAAAGGGTCCCCTCCCCCCTCCCTCAGCTTCTTTTCAAAAGTGTTTTAAACTTAATCTACAATATTCTCTTTGTTTCTTATTTCTTGCTTTCTACCTGCTTTCTTGTTTTTTTGTCTTTCATCCTGCTCCTCTATTTTTTTATCATCAAACATTAAAGTGAACTTCAGAAGAGAAGGAAGTGAACTTCAGAAGAGAAGGAATCAGAATGATTGCAAAACAAAATGGTCGAAAAGGAAAGAAAAAGGCAAGAATAAAAATAAAAAAATAGTAAAGATTACATATCATACAGATTAAGTTTTAAAGTATCACGTGTCGGGTGAATTTTTCTATCCGTCATCAGTGTTGAATCGTGGACGATCGTGTATTTAAATGGGAATCATTCGAAATGCAATCGTGAAGATCGTAATGATTGCGAGCGACTTTGTATGTATGTACACCTGCGCGTTGCTCGCGTAACAATGTCATAGACCCGCACAATTCAACTCCCGGTGGTAGGGCACGCACGGTCGCGGGTTAAATAACGTCATTTAGTATCGTAATATCTAATTTACTGCGGAAGGGAGCGACGAGCCGTGGGTGGACGCGGGGAAGGAAAGGACCGGTGCCACGTGGTCGTGATCCCACGGCGCCGCAATTACAGGCGCCTTCGAAACAATCGTATGTCCCTCTCAAGCGAGTTCAGCATGCGCTGCGAGAGAAATTAAACTCACGTTCAAGTAACGTTGTATATATATATATATATATATATACAGGGTGTCCCGAA